AACCATTTATGTTGTTTTCATAAAAAGGTTGAAAATTGTTTCAACAGCGTATTTGTAAGTTAGAAAATATTAAAATCCCTTTCTGAGGAGACTTCTGACTTTCTTCATAACTTTTAAGTGATCACTACTCTATATTAATCCATTTTATCAAATAAATAAAGCGGTATCCCAATGTTAAGTCTGAGTTAACAAGATTTACAAGAATCCAATTTACCAGGGATAATTTGTATAGCAACATAAACAGCTTACATCAGCAAGCAGAGTTCTGCTCTACAGCTTTTGAAAATGCAGTCTTGGACTCTCTATTTTCCATGTTCATTTTAATCTGTTCTGTCAATGATTCCTTTTTGTCACACATAGGTAGGTTAAAAAAAAGTAAAAACACAAAAATAAGCTCAATAAAACTTTAGTAGTTTGAAGATTAATGGTTAAGAACATTTTCAACTATAGAATGCAAACTCAGAAAATGAGCTAAATTAACATTGTTCAGCCTAAGTGTTAAATGCTAGAACTGAAAGACATTGTTTCAGCAGCCCTAACATCTATATGCACTTACAAAGAAATGGTCTTGGTGAGTTGGCAAAGCCACGCTAGCTCACTACAGAGCCTAAAAGAAAACGATCCCACAGAAGTAACCAAGCCTTTACAGCAAAACCTAACTCCCCAAGCTCATTAAAGCTTCCATCAAAAAGCTACTGAATCATTTAAGTCCAATTCCAAGTCTGACAATCCTAAATAAAATATTTGGCAAAAAAAGCAGCATGATCATTTAATATGTTCAAGGCCAGAGAACTAGGAAGGTTTCATTGCCTAACAGATAAGGCAGAAGAAAACTAACAATGATCTGAACACACAACCTACCAGAAGGCAGCATTGCACACAATACACAGCATTGACAAGTCAGAGACAGGACCAACTTGGCAGATGTTATGAAAGGACAATTTAAGACTTCGAAAGTTAGAATTAAAGACTGCATGTGGGAAAAAAATGAAGATTTCTTTCAGAAAGTTTGATCTTGCAAATTCTTGTGAAGTCTTTATCACTGATCATTTTCCACCCTGATTTGAGAAATAAAGTAATCCATTTGAGTGAGCTGTTGAGTGAAAGAGTCTAGAAGCTGCTGCTTAAACATATACAATGAAAAGTCAGGAGTATCAGTAAAAGTTTTCAAGATCAACTCAATGCAGAGCTGCTCAAGGCCACTTTCACATGGAGTTCCTCAGTTATGACACCGAAAGCCTTCCTTCGTGTAGCTGAGCTTAGAGCTCCCAAGAAAAGTTGTACTGCTGGCTTTCTAGAAATAGTGGTACCACACAGAATATGAAAGGTTGTCTGGTTAAGTCAATTTTGTACCTTTATTAAACTCTTTCTTGGATGCAAAAACCTAGTTTACAGGTTTGTTTTGATATCTTTTGAACCTCAACACATCCAAATGTTACCAGCTTTTGCACTAGATGCCACTTGGATTTTGGTATTCTCAGACTTAAAGCCACTGATGCTTGAAGGCTCACGAAATTTGTTTTATAAAACAAATTGTAATCGCAGTATTATGATCAGGATAGGCTTATTCTGACCCTCGAGTTAACTAATGATGGGCAAGGCAGAAAGAAATTTAATACACAATAATTAAAGTTACAAGCCCATCTCAGGACCAACGCTATGTACAACTGAGTTGGCCTTTCAACACTAAAATTCTCAATTGGCTACATAAACCAGTGAACATAATAAACAAGCATAATCCCCACCATCAGTTTTTCTAATATATTTCTGTCAAATGACCTTGCTGAAGCTTTCTATGGAAGTGAGTCTGACCTCTACACCTTTAAAGGCCAGTCTGTTGCCTAAAAGATGAACTAGTCTCCAGCCTCAGAATACAGGACAGTGTATCTTCAAGAATCATAAAAAATCATGCAAAATAAGAACCTGTAACTTCTTTCTACAAACATTATGCAGACCAATGACAGTGTAAATAGACTTTTGCTTAACAATCACTAGACAATGCTGCCAGACCAAGCTGTACTCCACATTCGTAAACCAGATCTGTACTGGACTCCAAAAAGAAGACCCCCATCTCTGGCTCAGATGACACACTAAATTCCATCTCACAAGCGTGAAAGGAGCGAGGAAGAAAGAAGTCATGTTTTAAATTAAGAAATCAAGCACAGGAAAATAGAAGCTTTCTGAAAGCCAGAGCTATGGTCACAAAAATTAAAACCCAGTATTTATACACAGGAGCACTTAAATTCATGAAGTATATACCACTTACACCTTCACAATGACACATTACGTGGTTCACCCTTCATTCCAAACAGGAAGCCAATGGCCCAAACAGACATTAAATGTTTATCTCCACTCCCTCATATTAAGGCACAACTTCTCATCTTTTTTTAGTCATATTTGTAATAACTGTAATTAGGATCTTACTTAAAACACATGTAGAAGACACAAATTAAGCTTGTTGCAGTACCTTTTCCAAGTGATGGGCACTGGGCATGCCTCTCCCTGAACTGCTGCTGGCCGGTCAAAGAATCCAGCACACATGGTGGTGTTTCCCAACTAACACCAAAGTGCTGGTTTCTCCAAAGATTGCTTCTTCTTCACAGGTTTCATTTCATTCTGTCTCATTTATTTCTGTCTCACAAGCTCTACGCAAAACTGGCTTCGCCACACAGGCTCTTTTATTCAGGCAGCAGGAAGCATAACTTAGGCAATGGTGGCCAAATAGCATCCAAGAACATCCAACTGTCCAGCAGCAAAAGCCAAGTACCCATGTCACAGCTTCCCTTTTTTATATACATTTAATCAGTTCTTTGTAGGCTGTACCGTACACTTTTCTGGTTTGACTCTCTTTTATTCTGTGTCTAGCAGACTTTTGAATTGTTCATTTACATAACCCATCTCCTAAGGATGCATTCAGGTGTCAGTGACTAGAAGTATCTCCATTTAGTTCACAGTAAATGCCTTTAGATACTATTTCTAAACATTTACTATATTTTTGCATATTCTCATCATACAATACTAAAAGTATATTGTAAAGATCTTTGTTAATTGGATTTCAGCTACAGTCAGCCTCAAGTACTCTATCACTTCAAACTCTGCTCTACTTCATATTTCTCAGGCTTGCACAGCATATCTTTTTCCCTATGTAATAAGCTCACATTTTTACCAACACTGTAATTTCCCTGTAGGAATAACCACCACAGAAGAACCATCCAACTCCTAAATGTGGGTCAACCAGCTCCATAAAAATCAAACCTACACCTCCCAAGTTGCAGATGGGCTAGAAGTCATAATTAAAGGTTGCTGAAGCCTAGCCCACATCGTACCTTTTTACTACTGAAATTGACTGCAAGACAAATTCACTGGTTCATGAAACTACAGCCTTATTTCTAGTAGCGCTCCTGGAAGACTAGGTCAGTGATGACTGATGCTAAAAAAGGCACAGATACATTTAACCAGCTTAAAAATCACTTCTATAATCCCCAAAATAATCAGAGGGGAAAAAAATAAAATCAGAAAAGAAGACTTAATATTTGCAAGGAGTTTGACGTAATACAATCAAGTCTTAGCGCTGTTTAAGCCTGTTTTAAGGACCTTCCTGTGAGTGAAAGCCCTTAAAAAGGCACAACAGTTTGCCTTTATAAATTAGTGGGAATAGCAACATTACAGGAAGACTTTACTACAATATTCAAATACACTTATATAACTACAACATTTGTCTAGCAAGGGATACAACACAGTACACAGAGTGAATAAACAAAAATGTCTTTAAACATAATAATAATTATAAACAAGTTATATATGTATATTCTACAGGAAATAATTGCAGACTAAGAACAACGCAAGCCAGAGAACATCAAGCGCTGTTCCAGTGAGACAACAGCAGCTTTTGGAAAACACATCAGAGCTAGCTGTGGGTAGCATCAAAAATACTACCATAATAATTCTTAAAGTACACTAAAAGACTACCAGATTCAACATGGTAACAAATATCTTTGGTTTCAAAGGATTTTTTCTTTTTATCTGAACGGTACTGAATGGTAAAACAGGAAAATAACTCAAAGTTACCTGATGAACTGCCTTTATTACTCTGACAGACTAATATCATTACTTTGACAAAGCAAACTATAAAAGTAGGGCAGCTCATACAAAAAAAAAAAAAAATCTCAGGAACACTAGTCGTGGCAAGAACTAAGGGAAGCATAGATCACTACTAGCATATAGAGTAAAAGGAGAGACAATATTAAAAAAAAGCCTGAAGTTTTCAATAAGGACCCCACACCCCATAACAAATATGTCTAATGATATCCTAGGCAGTAAGAGTAGGACACACCACAAGCAGTTTCAAATGCAAATAAGTACAAGGAGAGCAACTACTGCTTGTTTTTTTCGTGGGTTTTGTTGTTGTTGTTGTGTTCATTTTTATTTAAATAGACTATCAACATGTCAGGTCTATTGCTGAGTTTCACTTTGCATCCAATCAGTTCACATGGATCCTCTGAGAGTTTCTTTTCAGGTTTAACAAGGCCAAGAGACTGTTTGAAAGCTGGCAAAAAGCAGTGCTGAGGCTTTTCTTTTCCTCACCTTTCCTAAAGAGAGGGATCTTTCGGTAAAAGTAATTGTTAAAAGATCTTTACACAAAGGTTCCAGGTTTAGGTGGTGTATCATAACACTTCTGCATAAACACACAACCTAAATATTTGAGACATTAACATGACCATCGGTTACAGGATTACACACAGATAATGATTTACCCTCACCTGGACTGTTCTCCCACAAACCATAGCATGCTTTAAGAAACTAGTGCACCACATAATGCATTTTCTTCTGTTTCAGTTTAACACATAAGGATACAAAGAACTAGATACAGTATTTCAATATACTTTCTTCCTTACCTCTTTACGGTGAAAGGCAGTGGCTTTGAACCAACACTTGGAACAGATAATTAATGTCAGCATTTAAGTTCTTTAAAATCTCTGTAAAAAATAGCTTTGTCTTACCATGGCTATGGGCAGTTCCTGGGCTGAGAGATGGCTGGAGTAACTCTTTGGTTGGAGTAAAATAGGCTTCTTTCCCCTGGCGCTGGCTCATTTTTCCTGGAGTTAAAAGCTGTGATTCATCACTGTTTGTTACCACTGCTGAAATACAAAAAGCGGATGCTTATTCAATGATGTGATATGCTTGTGCATAGATTTCTATTAACAATTTCACTACTATGTAAGAAACTGGTATTTAAATGCTGTCTTGCAAAATGTTTCATTGTAAAAAATGAGGATTTCAAACCAGAGATTTGCTTTGGAGGGGATGGCAGAAAGAAACCAACAAGACTGGTCTAAGACATGAGGCAGAAGATGAAACTAAAAACTAGGAGAAGGTAGAAAAGGCTGAATACAGACACAGCACAGAGCCATTACTTAACTTCTGAAATCCTCCTTTCTTTGCCACTTTTGTGACAGTCCTTGGTTTAACCAGCCACAACACAGCCAACCCAGGAAACAGCTTTGCAGATCAAGCTATGCCACCATCCCAGAAAGCTAGGATGAACGTACATCACAAGAAACACATCTTATTAATAAAGATCACGTACAGACTCTGTCAAGGCAAAGGCTTAAAGCAGAGGAGTTACCCTCCTTGAATCTTACCAGTTTGAAAGATTTGCCTGACATCTTCTAGCTATTTATAAGATCACCTGGCCAGCCATCCTGTTTATGGTGTCTGTAAATTTCCTTAAGCTGCACACAAGAAAACTGTACCTTTTTCATAGGGGAAGAATGGCTGACTCAGTAAGATCTGTCCTGTGGAAGCAGATTTACTGACAAAAAGAGATCAGAGGGGGAAACAATAGATGCTTACTAAAGAAAAGCCTGCCTAAAAGATTGAAACTTACAATGCTGCTCATTTCAAAGAGTTCCCAAGCCTTCCTCAAATAGTTTTAAAAGTTCAGCAGAAGATCTACTCAAAACAAACAAGTTCCATTTTCTGGATGGACTCTTCTTAGCTTTATCAGTCCTACTATCACAGTAATGGAAACATTTTTTCAGCAAAGCCTAGAATGAACACAAGGCAGTATGGAGGAGAAAAAAAAAGAAAAAAAAGGTGCTGGAGTGTGCCCAAAGGAGGACAAAGCAGCAACAAAGCTGGTGAAAGGTCTACAGCACAAGTTCTGTGAACAGCAGCTGAGGAAACTGGGGTTCTTTAGCCTGGAGAAAAGGAGGCTGAAAGGAGACTTTACTGCTGTTTACAACTACCTGAAAGGAGGCTGTAGTGAGGTGGGTGTTGGTCTCTTCTCCCAAGTAACATTCAATAGGACAAGACTAAATGGCCTCAAGTTGCACCAGGGGAGGTTTAGATCGGATATTAGGAAAAATTTCTTCAACGAAAGGGGTGTCAAGCACTGGAACAGGCTGCCCAGGGAAGTGGTGGAGTCACCATCCCTGGAGGTACTTAAAAGACATGTACATGTGATGCTTAGGGACATGGACTTGATAATATTAAAGGTCTTTTCCAATCTAAACAATTCTATGATTCTAGCCTATGATTTCTTCAGCAGGGCCTAGCATAAACACAAGGCAGTATAAAGAATGCGTGGATGCCAGGATACCCACCTGTACTATTTTTCTACAACAGACAAACCATCTAAAGCTCTGCTGCAGACAAACTATACCCTATGCAGACTGCGACTCAGGAAAAATACATGAGGAGACGGACAAAGGAGGTAAAGAGCTCATTTTACCAGTTCAGAGTTCAAGTCTGTCAGTGCCAGAAGGCCAATACTTCAAAAGTAGTGACTGACTTTGCTCTTCTTGTAGCATCACCAAACTAGCTTTTTATTGTCCTGCAGCTACAAGTAAGGGAAATGGAGGGAGCAGGGGAGTTGCTGAAGTCTTGGGAAGGGACTGTATGACAAAAGGTCTGGTATCTGAAATAAAAAAATAAAAGGAGGGCGTAGAAAACAAGTGCTTCACGGGCTTGCATGAAACGAGTCTCACTTGTTTTATAAAGAGTTCCAGATGCACTGAAGTACCACCAACTTTCAATCGACTAGATGAAAGCTGCTCTCGAAGAGACACCAGCCATTTAGCTTCAGAGAGATGGTATTTCACAGCCCACTGTGCTCCGAGGGTGCCCCCGGCCAGCCCCCTGCCACCGCAGCGGGCACTGCTCCAGCTCTGCAGGGGCGCTCCTCGCCTTCTGCACCGACGGCCCTGTTGGAGACTCTGAATTGCACCAACAACCCTTTCTCAAGTGACCTGTGCAGAAGACTCATTTCTGAATGGGCAGCGTGCAACACCACTAACTCCTTTTTAAGTTTTAAGCTTAATTCCGAAGTTGTTTTTTTTAAGCTGTCAAGATGTGATCATTTCTCAGGTGGTATTTGCCAGTAATTTGGAGTGTAAGCAAGCTCTGCACACAAATTTTACCAAAGCATGAACTGAACTCAGTGATGTTAACTCAGTAGCACCCATAGGGTTACAAGCTTCAAGTTCACTATTAAATTAATTTTGTTAGTCTGCTCCTTTGCTCCTTTGTTAGTCTGGAGATTCAATTTGGGCCCTGCAAAGACTGCTAGCACTGTCAGAAAGGCTTCTTTCCTACAAAACACAGTTTATGTAACACCTCACATAGAATATATTGTGGTAAGCACTGTGCATGCCTGAGGATTTAAGATAAACTTCTTAAATCAGCTGGGCTTTTGAAAAATTCATAAAGCTAAAGGATGATTATAAGGAGAGTTTTAAAATCTCCTTTTTATACAAAGCACTATAAAAGTACTAAACAAATGGAAATAAATCAGTTAAGAACATAAATGTCTATCCACACTGTTGCAGGCACTGGGAAGAAGCTGTCCCCTTTCTTCAGAATGCATCATCCTGATGCTCAGGTGTTTGCACTGGGGTAAGGGGGAAGACAAGGCAAGGCAGAACATACCTGTTGCTTTGAGCAGGGGATAGAGAATAAGGTTACTAAGAAGCTTTCATCTTTTTTCTATAAAAGACTGACTAATGACCTGATTTTTACAGATGCCTGTGTAACCACAACTGTAAAATTAGCAGGATCTTCAGGAAGTTAATGATGTCTGTAAAGATATGCCTTAAGCATCTCATGGCAGGAGCTCTGGAACTTTAGAAGACGGAGATGGAAACAAAGAAAGCTCTTACAAGGAAAAGGAAAAAGTACTTGGAAAGGAGACAGGAGGGGGAAAAGTTATGCTAGTAACGAACTTGAGCTTTCAAGATACCATTAAATCAAATATCTACCACTCAGAAGCAGATCTTTTTAAGACAGTAGATGTAATCAGTACATATTAATACTCAGCAATGTATAGAGGCTCCTTGGCTGCTGTTTATAGCTTCTGATGGACTGATTTTATAAACACTACAAAAATGTATGCTACATACTTAAGTAATCTAGTTACTGACAATGATTGACAGTTCTATAACTACTTTTGAACTCATTTCAAGCATGGAATGATTTTATCCTGGAATTTCATTACATTCATAGAATAAAACCAACAGTGATACTGAAAGACAGCAATAGTAATTTGCTCTAGTGACTTTGCTCACTTGCGAAATTAAAGTTAGCATGAAGGAATAAATGAAGTTTCTAGTCAAAAACATTTTCTTATCTGCCAAAATACCAAACTGAAACTTACAGTTTTGGACTTATGTGTCCCCACATACCTGCAGTGTACCTCAAAAAACCACAGCCAGTTTCTGACTAATCTTCAAAGCACTCACACTTCCTAGTAAGTTTTGGTGAAGACAACCAAAATATGATTTTTAAAATTATTTTTTATTTCTTAAATATTCCTGGGGAACATCTCACCTATGGAAATGATCAGAGGGCTGGAATGTTTCTCCAAAAAAGTGAAAGAGTTAGGGTTGTTGAGCCTGGAGAAGAGAAGGTTCTGGGGAGATCTTATTGCGCCTTTTAATACAAAAAAGGGGCTTACAAGAAACACAGAGAAAGACATTTTACCAAGGCCTCCAGTGACAGGACAAGGGGCAATGGTTTTAAACTCAAAAAGGATAGATATAGATTGGACATACAAAAGAAATTTTTTACGATGAGGGCGGCTGAGACACTGGAACAGGTTGCCCAAAGAAGTTGTGGATGCTCTGTCCCTGGAAGTGTTGAGGGTCAGGCTGCACAGGGCTTTGAGCAACCTGATCTAGCAGAAGGTGTCCCTCCCCACGGCAGGGGAGTTGGGTCAGATGAACTTTAAAAGTCCCTTCCAACTCAAACCATTCCATAATTCTAATTCTTCTTAGGTGTCACATGCCATCTCTGCAACTTGAAAGACGGATTTGGACATGTTGAGCATATGCCTACCAACAAGACACACAACAGCATTGCCAACTATTCCTTTCACTCAAAGGCCTCAAAGGGGTGATTTATTTTTAGACTTTCACTCAGGCTTTAGAGCACTCTTCCAAGAGAAAGATGATGTCCGTTCATCACTTCCTTTACCTGAGTGAGTTTAAACCCCATACCATCTATCTCCTCGAAGATAAGCAGAGGGTTATTTTAGAGAAGAAACATCAATTCATAAATATCAAAGCCTCCTTGCGACTCTTTGAAGGGCACATTTCAATACCAGCAGAACTATTAGCTGATAATACATACTTGTTCAATTTCCTCATACTGGCCATCAAATTACTATTACATAGATTGTCACTAAGATTCACATATCAGAAGAAACACAAATTGGGGTCTTTAAACCCAATTTATTTCAACAGATAAGGCTATGAAAAAAAAAAATATCTGAAGCGGCAGATTCCCAGTTCTTCTGTTTCTATAAGGAGCATGTGAAAGAGCCCACACTCTTGAAACCAGCACAAGGACATCAGATATAGGAAAAGATGAATTATAATTCAAGTCCACATTTTTTAATGTCTATAATAAGCTGTATCAGCTAAGACCATTGCTTCTGCACAGATTTCTCACCAAAAAGAAAAGAATTCGTGCCTGCACCTTTCCCTTCCCCACATATGCAAATACTTCATCTCAGGCAAAATTATTTTGCCAATCATATGATCATACTAACATTCATGAACCAATGACACTAATAAGTCTTTGGCTACGTGCACGCAGATATATATACACACTGAAGTTTTCCCTATCACCACACCAGACTCAATCCTTATTTGAGTATTACAGTATATACACCTGTTCATTTCTGAAGATGTAAATTTATTGAAATGAAGTGAATCATACAGCACTATAAACAGACAAGCTCAAAAATAAAACTGTTTCTGAACCATTACTTCCACGTCTTTATTATCTATACTACAATAACTTTTGAAGGTTTCATTTCAAACTGATAAATATATCTTTTTCTCTTCCAGATAAGTAATTTAAAAGATTTTTTTTTTTCTAGCCACAACTGGGAGAGGGGAAGAATAAACTTTTCCCACTAAAAAAATAAAAGGTTAATGTAGGGAAACATTTAGATAAGTAGTACGCCAGGTAAAATACTTTCCCAACAGTAAATTTCATTGCAATTCAGCTTCTCAACTACAATACAAAAGAACACCTAGTATTTAGCCCAGCAGCCTATGCGCAAAGATATATGCTGGCTATGATGAACATATGTGCAAACATACTGTAGGAGAGGGGAGTCACTTACTTGATGGTCCATGAGAGTCTCTGTTATCACCATGATGCTGTGTACATACACAATTGAAGAACGAAGAACAGCAAACAAAAAAATCCAGGCCAGGAAGAAGCAAGTGTGCAAAAGCAGCAGCAGCGGGGGAAAGAAGAAGGACAATGAAAACAGTGTTAGTTCATAACTAAAATACAACATGCACCTCAACACCAAAGGCAAGGCCTCAAGAGACTTAGCAGTTCAGAAAAGTTGAAGCAACACAACTGACAAATATGCTTATAGAGAAGACATTATTAGAAGCCATCATACAGTATATGGTTAGTAAACAGCAACAGCCCCAACTGCTAATTCTGAGTGGAACCTCTCCATCAGAAATTTAGCGCTTATATGACTTGATACACAACATATTTTAAGAAATTTTTAGCTGGAACGTTTTCAGAAGACTAAAGCTCTGAAGAAAGCTGCAATAACATAAAATTTGTTTCTGTTTACAAAACCACTTTCAGACAGGTGCTTTGGAAAGACAAAAACTTTTAAGCCACCAGTAACCTGCAAGCAACCATTAACACCACGATTTTGCACACAAACATAAACTTAGAAGCCATAGATTCAGTTCATCTACAAACACAGTTAACATTTTAAATTGCTTAGGATGCAAGACAAGCATTGCAGTTTTAAATTTAAGAGGGCATTTTATATCAAAGAATTTCCAAAGAACCAAGTCGTATAAAAGTTGTCTCTGTCCCACTGAATGCATCAAAGTTAGACACTACAAGGGAAGAGCCACACAGTAATAGTCTGTAGTCCTTTCTGACATTTGATCTGGAATCTTTTATAAATCATTGCTACCCAAGGCCACAATCGGGACTAGGATCCCACTGTGATTAGCCGTGTACAGATGTAAGGTAAGTTCTATCTGTGTCTTAAAGGGTTTATTATGTCTGAAATCCACGAATAACAGCAAAAGAAGAGAAAACAAGCACACCGCTCAGCATGAACATTTCCTCCTTAAAAATAAAATAAATCCAAACATACTGTATCTTCTATATCCCAAACAAAAAACTTCTGCTTCATAAAGGAAAGAAATCCTTGCTCTGCTTTAAAGAGGATCCAGTCTTGCCTCTCTGTTATCAGGACTGAACAGCAGGAAAGGTAAAAAAGAAAAACAAAAATCTTACCAAGTAGGAGTCTTGTCTTACAGTCCTGATCTCAAAACATGGATTTTTTTTATCCCTCATAGCTGCCTAGGGGTGTTAAATTGACACCACAACGTGGAAATGTAAAGTATTGCAATGAGAATACAGCAATTGCAGTACAAATCATTGGAAAGGTGAGGGAACCCTTCTTTCATAATTTTGCACTTTCTGGAAAAGGACTTGATTGAACAAAGGAAGCTGAAATAAATTATAAGTGCACTTGGTAAACAACCTTCTATCCCTGTCAAAGACTAAATTCAGGTCAAAGAGTGAAACACTGCTAAGGGAATCCATGAACTTACCAGGCAGGTTTAGGTACTAGTACATGAAACGCTTTCAAGAATTCAATGGTTTTCAAGGCAAAGTGTTTCTTCTAAATCTACAGGTAACATACTGCAGACTAGGAAACAATTTACATTTGGACTGGAACTGTATTGCCCTACACTGGTTTTAGATTCAAGAGAATAGTGACTGATAAGAAAGCAAGACAAAGAAGTCTGCAGTAACTGAACAGAGATCCAGCAACCAACTGAAGGACTGGGAACACCACTACTGAGCACTGGCCTGCTTTATTTCACACTAAAAGTTGGAAAGCAAGAGCAGAGAACTGCAAAATTAAATTGTTAAAAGACACATAGGATCAGAAGTTTCTCAGACTCAGACAGCATGTTCACTTGCAGTGCATACTTACACATTGAAGAAATAGAGTGAAAAAGCACCGCAGCAGGTCCTGTCTCACTGCCTGCCTCTCAAGCAGCTTTGACCAAGATACAACATGACACCACAGCACAGGGCAACCCGTCATCCGAGACGATGCAGGGGCTTTTTATGTAAATATTTCAGCATTGCATGGTTAATCCTATGAACTGGTACAAACAGCTCTTACGCCAGAGGCTGAAACACAAGCCTGTCTAACTCTGTCCCTGATCTTCTCCAACAGACATTCTGTTTACACACCAAACTGCCTCTGTTGCTGGTCAACTCCTTCTCCTCATTAGAACTACTTGGGCCTCTGTATTTACCTAAAACCTGCAGAATATATATTTCTAAATATTGATGCAAGATGTTAAGATACTGAAACAAGACTATTTCGGCCAAAAAGACCTCTTCATGTTCCAATAGCCTATTGCACCTCTATCATCTGCAATTCATATCACTGCAGATGGCGGATTCAAACTCCTAAGGGAACAAAAAAGGACAGTGTTACTAATTCAGTGTTTTCTCTGAAAAGAATGCCCTCAGGACATTCCTGTCAATTGCCTCCCACAATTTTTATTCTAAATATACAAAATTAAGAGACGAATACACTTATTTCCAGAGACACAGCCTCCCCTTATTTTCACATTTATTTAATTGATGACTTTGATGATAGATTACAGAACAAGTCCTTTGATAAGGGAGGCTCTCAACCTACATGATTGATTTAGCTTCTGCTGAGGTTCATTTAGTTAAAAATGCTACTATCAAAATATACAAAACCTAGCCCTCCTTCCAGTAAAGTTTTAGATCACGACTAAGGCATAAACCCAGCAATATAAACCGTCACATGAGACGGCAGCCATAATTCTGTTTTCATACAAAAGCAGCTCTGTGCTTCAGAAAAGTACTATTTTTAGACATTGATTTCTCAGAAATAAAGCTTATAACGACTGCTACTAAACCTAAAATTGTATCTGCCAACTTGTCCTATAAAACAAAATCCTTTTCCTGTTGAAGATTAGGGTAAAAGCAAAAACATACGTCACGCTAGCACATCGGAATCTCACTACAAAAGAGAAGTTTGTTAAACATACTTAACTAGATTTACAATCTAAACCTACAGCTAAATTCTTAATAGAGTTTAAATGCACGTTTTAAAGCCAAGTTAGACTTTTC